GGGGCGCGGGGGTTAATGGGGGGACAAACAAAGGGGACAAAGGGGCGGGGGCCACCCTGCGACGTCATTTGGGGTCGGTCGCGGGGAGAGACGAGAAAACGGCCAGAAAAGGAGCGAAATTGGGGGCACAGAAACCCCCACCCCACCGAGTTCGGGGAGGGGACACGCGGCGGGGACACGGCCCCGCGGGGACCCCGCAGGTCCCCGGGGAGGGGGGACCGACCCCAAATCCGCCGGCATTTTGTGTTCCGAAGGAGAAATTCCGCCCGGGGCTGGGCAGGGAGCGACCGTGGGGGGGCCGGGGGGGACCCGCGGTTGTCCCCAGCGCTGTCCTCAAGGCCGGGGGACCCGAGGCGAGGACCACACCCCGCTCCTCGCCGGGTCCCGAGCCCGGAGGGGCCGCGGCCGGGGCCGGGGGGGCAGTCAGGAGCCCCCCGAGTTGGGTTTGATGATGCTCAGCAGGGCGCTCTTGAGGCTGCCCCGGCTCGGGGAGCGGGCGGCGGGCGGGGGCGCGGCCTGGGGCTCCCCCCGCAGCTCCATCTCGATGGTCATGATGACTTTGGGGGGCCGGGGGTCCCCCTCGGCCCCGGCCGCCCCCGGGGGTCCCTCCCTGCCCGCTAACCGCTATTTCCTATCCTTGCGCGAGTCGCCCTTGGCTTTCTTGGCGCTGCGGCCGTGGTCCAGCATGGCGTAGAGCACGGGGGCCTGCGGGGACAGGGGGGCTTCACCCGCCGCCCCCGGGGGGTCTGGGGACCGGGGGGAGCGGGGGGACAGCCCGCCGAGCCCCCCGCCCCGCTCGGCGCTCACCTGCCGGCTGCGCTTGGAGCCGTCCTTGCCCGAGCGCTGCAGCTTCCCCTTCTCCATGGCGCTGGGGGGGGGACGGAAAGAGGGGCTGGGGGCGGCGGGCCTGCACCCCCGGGCCCCCCGGTGTGGGGGAAGGAGGGGCTGGGGCCCGTTTGGGGGAGGGGTCCGGTTTGGGGAGGGGTCCGGTTTGGGGAGGGGTCCCGCTCACCTCAGCCGCCGCTGCAGAGCCGCCTGGCGCCGCCGCCAGCAGTAGCGCGTGCCGTAGGCCAGGGCCACCAGCACGGCCACCAGGAGCAGCGCCCCGCCGATGACAGAGCCCAGCACGACACCGTAGCGGGGTGGCACTGCGGGGACAGTGGCACCGTGTCACCCCCCGGCAGCGGGGGGCACTGCGGGGACAGTGGCACCGTGGGGACAGTGGCACTGCGGGGACAGTGGCACTGCGGGGACAGTGGCACCCTGTCACCCCCACCAGCAGAGATCAGGGAGGTGACACCGGCCCCGTCTCGCTCCCACCAGCGGAGGTGACAGCAGAGCCGTGTCACCGCCACCAGCGCGGGATCAGGGAGGTGACACCGGGCCCGTGTCCCCCCATCAGCTGGGATCAGGGAGGTGACACCAAGCCAGTGTCACCTCCAGCAGTGCAAGTGCCACCAGCGCCGTGTCCCCGCCAGCATCAGGCTCTGGAAGGTGACAGCAGGGTCCGGGAGGTGACACCAGCCCCGTGTCATCCCCATCGCGGGGGATCGGGGAGGTGACACCAGCCCGGTGTCCCCGCCAGCAGCGGGCTCCGGGAGGTGACAGAGGGCTCTGGGAGGTGACAGCGAGCCCGGGGAGGTGACAGCGGGCTCTGGGAGGTGACAGCGGCCTCGGAAGGTGACAGTGGGCCCAGGGAGGTGACAAGCCAGCAGCAGGCTCTGGAAGGTGACAGCAGGGTCAGGGAGGTGACAGCGAGCCCGGGGAGGTGACAGCGGGGTTTGGGAGGTGACAGCGGGTCCGGGGAGGGGACAGCGGGGTTTGGGAGGTGACAGCGGTTCCGGGGAGGGGACAGTGGGCCCAGGGAGGTGACAGCGAGCCCGGGGACGTGACAGCAGGTCCCGGGAGGGGCACAGTGTCACCCGCAGGGACGGGGCTGGTGACACTGGGACAAGGGGACACTGCGGGGACACCCCGGTGCCACCACGATGTGAGGGGACACGGTGTCACCTCAAGGGACGCTCTGTCCTGTGGGGCTGGTGCTGACACCCAGCGGGCACTGGGGATACCTTGGGGACACCCCAGTGCCACCACAGGGTGAGGGGACACGGCTGGAGCTGGACCTGGGGGGCAATGGGGACGCTTTGGGGACACCTTGGGGACACCCCAGTGCCACCACCGTGTCACCCTCAGTGCAGGCTCTGTCGCGCTGCCGCTGGGACGAGGCGACACCGGCGCTGAGGGCGCGGCGGGGACAGGACGGGGACACTGGGGACGGCTTGGGGACACGGCGGGGACAATGGGGACACTGACGGAGATGCTGTCGCGGGAGCCGTCGGCCTGGAAGTGCCAGGTGATGGAAATGTCCTCCGAGATCCACTCGCTGGACCAGAAGCTGCAGGACAGGGTGACACGCGAGCCCACGGTGCCATAGAGCTCGCGCGGCGTGTACACGTGGATTGGGGACACCGGCGACACTCCTGGCGACACAGAGACGTCAGCGCTGTCCCCGAGCTGCCACCGAGCCCGGCGCTGTCCCCGAGCTGCCACCAAAGGCGAGGCTTGCGAGGGGACGGCGGTGGCGCTGCTGTCCCCAGGGGTGGCACGGAGGGGACAGTGTCCCCGTGCCCGGTGACACGGGCGGTGCCCGTGGGAGGTGACAATGGGACACTCTGTGCGCGCCGGTGACACCAGCAGGGCTGGGTGTGGCACCTCCGCCCCTGTCCCCAAGGAGGTGACAGGGACCGTCCTTGCAGCCCCCCGCCTCTGTCCCCAAGGAGGTGACAGCTCTGGGACCCTCCTGGCCGCCACCCCCAGCTGTCCCCAAGGAGGTGACAGTGACAGGGACCGTCCTTGCAGCCACCCGCCTCTGTCCCCAAGGAGGTGACAGCTCTGGGACCCTCCTGGCCGCCACCCGCCCCTGTCCCCAAGGAGGTGACAATGACAGGGACCGTCCTTGCAGCCACCCGCCCCTGTCCCCAAGGAGGTGACAAGCGCCGCAGCTCGGTGACACCATCAGGGCTGGGTGTGGCACCCCCTCAATCTGTCCCCAGGGAGGTGACAACGACCAGGACTGTCCCCACAGCCACCCGCACGTGTCCCCAGGTTGGTGACAGATCTGGGACCCTCCTGGCCGCCACCCCCAGCTGTCCCCAGGTTGGTGACAATGACAGGGACTGTCCTTGCAGCCACCCCCAGCTGTCCCCAGGTTGGTGACAGCCTCGCTGTCCCCCGCCAGCCATGGGGACAGTCCCCAAGCCCGGGTGACAGTCCCCAAGCCCGGGTGACAGTCCCCAAGCTGCAGTGACAGTCCCCAAGCCCTGGTGACAGTCCCCAAGCTGCGGTGACAGTCCCCAAGCCGCGGTGACAGTCCCCAAGCCACGCGTGGTGCCGCCATCCCCACGGCCACCCCCAACCCCCTCCTGCCCCCCTCGCCACCCCCTTGTTGGGGACAGTCCCTTGTCCCCAAGCTCACCCAGCGCCGCCGCCAGCGCGGCCACGAGGAGGAGGCGGCGGGTGGCCCTCGGGGACACCTGGGGACACATGCTGGCGGTGACACGGAGGGGACAGCGGCGGGGACGCGGTTTTAGGGTGGCTGCCCCCCAGGGCCGGCCAATGGGCGCGGGGGGGCCGGGCCCGGGGTCCCCTCAAAGGCGACATTGAGGGACACCGAGGGACACCGAGGGTGGCGAGGGGGACGGGGACACTGGTGGCCTTTGTCCGGCCGCATTCCCGCGCCGCGGGGGCGGGGGAGCAGGAATGATAAAGGGGATCAATATCAGTACCGATCCCAGTACCGATCACCGGTTATCGATCCTAGTACCGAGCCCAGTACCGATATCAATACCGATATCAGTACCGATCACCGGTTATCGATCACCGGTTATCTATCCCAGTACCAATATCAATACCGATCCCAGTACCGATCCCAGTACCGATATCAGTACCGATCCCAGTACCGATCACCGGTTATCGATCCCAGTACCGATATCCATACCGATATCAGTATCGATCCCAGTACCGATATCAGTACCGATCCCAGTACCGATATCAGTATCGATCCCAGTACCGATCACCGATTATCGATCCCAGCACGGACCCCGCCCGGGACCGGAAGTGCGTCACGGCCACTTCCGGCGCGGCGGCTCCAGGATGGCGGCGCTGGCTCTGAGGTGGCTCCGCGGGCCCGGGACAGGCCCGGGACAGGCGGGGGGACCCTGGGGACACCGGGAGGGCACCGGGAGGGCACCGCGGGGACAGCGGGGGCGGCCTGAGGCGATTTCTCGGTTCTGACGCGGGACCCGCGGGGCTGGGCCAGCCCCGAACCGCAGCGGGTCCGCCCGTGTCCTCTCGGTGTCCCCTCGGTGTCCCCTCGGTGTCACCCCCGTGTCCCCTCCGTGTCCCCTCAGTGTCACCCCCGTGCCATCCTCTGTGTTCCATTTTTTCTTATTTTTCCCCATTTTTTTCTCGTTTTTCCCCCGTTTTTCTCATTTTTCCCCGTTTTTTCTCATTTTTCCCCCGTTTTTCCTCATTTTTCCCCCGTTTTCTGGGGGATTTTGGGCTGTTTTTGGGGTGGGTTTGGGGTTGTTTTGGGGTGCGTTTGGGCTGTTTTGGGGTGGGTTTGGGCTGGTTTTGGGGGTGGGTTTAGGGTGTTTTTAGGGTTTTGGGCTGTTTTTGGGGTTTTTGGGTTGTTTTTGGGCTGTTTTGGGGGTTTTGGGCTGGTTTTGGGTAGGTTTGGGCTGGTTTTGGGCTGTTTTTGGGCTGGTTTTGGGCTGTTTTTTGGGGGTGGGTTTAGGGTGTTTTTGGGGTTTTTGGGGCGGGTTTGGGCTGTGTTGGGGTTTTTGGGCTGTTTTTGGGGTTTTTGGGGCGGGTTTGGGCTGTTTTTGGGCTGTTTTTGGGCTGTTTTTGGGCTGTTTTTGGGCTGTTTTTTGGGTTTTTGGGCTGTTTTTTGGGTTTTTGGGCTGTTTTGGGCTGTTTTGGGGGGTTTTTGGGCTGTTGGGCTCAGCCCCTCCCGCCCAGCGCGGTCCCCATGGCCTCGACGGCGCGGGAGGAGATGAGGAGGTTCTGGGAGAGGAACGAGCGCTCGGGGCGGCCCCTGTCCCCCCACGTCAGCATCTACAAGTGAGGGACCCCCCAAAACTGCCCCAGACACGGGGGGAGCCCCAAAACTGCCCCAGAACCAGAATGGGAGCCCCAAAACTGCCCCAGAACACGGGGGGAGCCCCAAAACTGCCCCAGAACACAGGGGGAGCCCCAAAACTGCCCCAGAACCAGACTGGGAGCCCCAAAACTGCCCCAGGACACAGGGGGAGCCCCAAAGCTGCCCCAGAACCAGACTGGGAACCCCAAAACTGCCCCAGAACACACGGGGAACCCCGAAACTGCCCCAAAACTGCCCCAGAGCAGACTGGGAGCCCCAAAACTGCCCCAGGACACAGGGGGAGCCCCAAAGCTGCCCCAGAACCAGACTGGGAACCCCAAAACTGAAACTGCCCTGCGCCAGACAGGGATCCCAACCCCAAAACTGCCTCAGAACAGACTGGAAATCCCAAAACTGCCCCAAAACTGCCCCAGAACAGACTGGGAACCCCAAAACTGCCCCAGAACTGCTCCAGAACAGACTGGGAACCCCAAAACTGCCCCAGAACTGCTCCAGAACAGACTGGGAACCCCAAAACTGCCCCAGAACACAGGGGAGCCCCAAAACTGCCCCAAAACAGACTGGGAACCCCAAAAGCTGGGAGCCCCAAAATCACCCCAAAACACCCCAAAACTGCCCTAAACTACCTTCAAAACAGCCAGGGAACCCCAAAACAGCCCCAAAACACCCTAAAGCCAGACAGGGATCCCCAAAACTGCCCAAAACCACCCCAAAACTGCCCCAAAACCAGCCAAAGAACCCCAAAATCACCCCCAAACCACCCCAAACCCATCCAGACTGCCCCTAAAACAATCACCCAAAAACCATCCCAAATCAGCCCAAATCACCCCAAAACCGGCCCAAACCACTCCAAAACTACCCCAAAATAGTCCAAACCACCCTGAAAAAAGCCAGGGAACCCCAAAATCCCCCTAGAACCATCCCAAATCAGCCCAAATCACCCCAAAACCGGCCCAAACCACTCCAAAACTACCCCAAAATAGTCCAAACCACCCTGAAAAAAGCCAGGGAACCCCAAAATCCCCCTAGAAACTCCCCAAAGCAGCCCAGGAACCCCAAATTCACCCCAAATTCACCCGGGCACCCCCGAAATCAGCCCAAAAATCGCCCCTGGGAACCCCGAATTCACTCCAGGCCACCTCAAAATCCCCCAAACTCACCCCAGGACCCCCCAGAACCCCCCAAACCCCGCTGCCCTGGGTTTTGGGGTGACCCCAGCCCCGTTTCTGTTGCAGGTGGTCTCTGCCCATGGCCATGTCCATCAGCCACCGCGGCACCGGCGTCGCCCTCAGCCTGGGTGGGTGGCACTGGGGACACTGGGGACACCCTGGGGACACCCCTGGGTTCCCACAGCTGGGGGGGTTTGCTGGCAATCCTCTGCCTTCTTCAGCCCCCCAAAATTCCTTCAAATCACCCCAAATCCCCACAAAATCCCTTAAAATCCCTCAAAACCCCTGAGCCCAAACCCACAAAATACCTTAAAATCCCTCCCAAATCCCTCCCAAAATCTCCCCAGTTCCCCCCAAAATCCCCCCCATCCCTGTTTTTACCCATCCCTGTTTTTACCCATCCCCATTTGCCAGAGTTTTTCCCATTCATACTTTTTCCACCCATGAGATTTTTCTCCATCCCGGAGTTCTTCCCATGTTCTCCCTGGTGTGTTCCATCCCACTCCAGGTGTATCCCTGTCCCTATTCCAGCTGTGTCCCTGTTTGTCCCCAGCTGTGTCCCTGTTCCCCAGCTGTGTCCCTGTTCCCCAGGTGTGTCCCTGACGGGTCCCACCCCTGTGTCCCCAGCTGTGTCCCTGTCCCCAGCTGTGTCCCCAGCTGTGTCCCTGAGGGTCCCTGTTGTTCCCAGAACTGCCCCAAAACTGTCCCAAACTGCCCCAGAACACACGGGGAGCCCCAAAACTGCCCCAGAACTGCCCCAGAACAGACTGGGAACCCCAAAACTGCCCCAAAACTGCCCCAAAACTGCCCCAGAACACCCTGGGAAACCCAGAACCCCCCAGAACATAGGGGGAGCCCCAAAACTGCCCCAGAACCAGACTGGGAGCCCCAAAACTGCCCCAGGACACAGGGGGAGCCCCAAAGCTGCCCCAGAACCAGACTGGGAACCCCAAAACTGCCCCAGAACACACGGGGAACCCCGAAACTGCCCCAAAACTGCCCCAGAGCAGACTGGGAGCCCCAAAACTGCCCCAGAACACAGGGGGAACCCCAAAACTGCCCCAGAAGTGCCCCAGAACACACGGGGAACCCCAAAACTGCCTCAGAACAGACTGGGAACCCCAAAATCACCCCCAAAACACCCCAGAATAGACTGGAAACCCCAAAACAGACCCAAAGTAACTCAAAACTGCCCCAATAACAGACAGAGAACCCCAAAACTGCCCCAATAACAGACAGAGAACCCCAAAACTGCCCCAATAACAGACAGAGAACCCCAAAACTGCCCCAAAAACACCCCAGAACAGGCTGGGAGCCCCAAAATCACCCCAAAACACCCCAAAACTGCCCTAAACTACCTTCAAAACAGCCAGGGAACCCCAAAACAGCCCCAAAACACCCTAAAACCAGACAGGGATCCCCAAAACTGCCCAAAACCACCCCAAAACTGCCCCAAAACCAGCCAAAGAACCCCAAAATCACCCCAAAACCAGCCAGGGAACCCCAAAATCCCCCTAGAAACTCCCCAAAGCAGCCCAGGAACCCCAAATTCACCCCAAATTCACCCGGGCACCCCCAAAATCAGCCCCAAAATCGCCCCTGGGAACCCCGAATTCACTCCAGGCCACCTCAAAATCCCCCAAACTCACCCCAGGACCCCCCAGAACCCCCCAAACCCCGCTGCCCTGGGTTTTGGGGTGACCCCAGCCCCGTTTCTGTTGCAGGTGGTCTCTGCCCATGGCCATGTCCATCAGCCACCGCGGCACCGGCGTCGCCCTCAGCCTGGGTGGGTGGCACTGGGGACACTGGGGACACCCTGGGGACACCCCTGGGTTCCCACAGCTGGGGGGGTTTGCTGGCAATCCTCTGCCTTCTTCAGCCCCCCAAAATTCCTTCAAATCACCCCAAATCCCCACAAAATCCCTTAAAATCCCTCAAAACCCCTGAGCCCAAACCCACAAAATACCTTAAAATCCCTCCCAAATCCCTCCCAAAATCTCCCCAGTTCCCCCCAAAATCCCCCCCATCCCTGTTTTTACCCATCCCTGTTTCCCTGTGTCCCCAGTTGCCAGAGTTTTTCCCATTCATACTTTTTCCACCCATGAGATTTTTCTCCATCCCGGAGTTCTTCCCATGTTCTCCCTGGTGTGTTCCATCCCACTCCAGGTGTATCCCTGTCCCTATTCCAGCTGTGTCCCTGTTTGTCCCCAGCTGTGTCCCTGTTCCCCAGCTGTGTCCCTGTTCCCCAGGTGTGTCCCTGACGGGTCCCACCCCTGTGTCCCCAGCTGTGTCCCTGTCCCCAGCTGTGTCCCTGTCCCCAGCTGTGTCCCCAGCTGTGTCCCTGAGGGTCCCTGTTGTTCCCTCCTGTGTCCCCAGCTGTGTCCCTGAGGGTCCCTGTGTCCCCAGCTGTGTCCCTGTCCCCAGCTGTGTCCCTGTTGTTCCCCAGCTGTGTCCCTGATGGTCCCTGTTGTTCCCCCCTGTGTCCCCAGGCATGTCCCTGTTCCCCAGGTGTGTCCCTGTTGTTCCCCAGCTGTATCCCTGTTGTTCCCCAGGTGTGTCCCTGACAGGTCCCACCCCTGTGTCCCCAGCTGTGTCCCTGTGTCCCCAGCTGTGTCCCTGAGGGTCCCTGCCCTGTGTCCCCAGGCGTGTAGGCGTGTCCCTGTGTCCCTGTCCCCAGCTGTGTCCCTGTGTCCCCAGCTGTGTCCCTGACGGGTGCCACCCCTGTGTCCCCAGGCGTGTCCCTGTGTCCCCAGCTGTGTCCCTGACAGGTGCCACCCCTGTGTCCCCAGCTGTGTCCCTGAGGGTCCCTGTTGTTCCCCCCTGTGTCCCCAGCTGTGTCCCTGAGGGTCCCCGTTGTTCCCCCCTGTGTCCCCAGGCGTGTCCCTGTGTCCCTGTTGTTCCCCAGGCGTGTCCCTGTCCCCAGCTGTGTCTGTGTCCCCAGGCGTGTCCCTGAGGGTCCCCGTTGTTCCCCCCTGTGTCCCCAGGCGTGTCCCTGTTCTCGCTGGCGGCGCTGCTGCTCCCGGAGCAGTTCCCTCATTACCTGGCTCAGGTGCGGGCGCTGAGCCTGGGCCCCGCCCTGCTCTGCTCGGCCAAGTTCCTGCTGGCCCTGCCCTTCTGCTACCACACCTGGAACGGTGTCCGCCACCTGGTGAGGGCCAGCCCCGTGGGGACAGCGGGTGACAAAGGGGGTGGGACCGGGGCGTCCCCCCTGGCCGGGGTCCTGGGATCGGGGAGGAGTTTTGGGAGTGGCACAAAAGGTTGGGAATGGCTGGAGGGGTTTTATGGGAGCATCCCCATGTGGAACTGGGAATTGTGCACCTGGGTGTCCTTTTGGGGACAGCAGGTGACACTGGGGGTGGCACTGGGGTGTTCCCCTGCTCGGGTTCCTGGGATCAGGGGGGGAGTTTTGGGAGTGGCACAAAAGGTTGGTGAGGGCCAGCCCCGTGGGGACAGCGGGTGACAAAGGGGGTGGGACCGGGGCGTCCCCCCTGGCCGGGGTCCTGGGATCGGGGAGGAGTTTTGGGAGTGGCACAAAAGGTTGGGAATGGCTGGAGGGGTTTTATGGGAGCATCCCCATGTGGAACTGGGAATTGTGCACCTGGGTGGCCTCCTGGGGACAGTGGGTGACACTGGGGGTGGCACCGGGGCGTCCCTCCTGCTGGGGTTCCTGAGATCGGGAAGGAGTTTTGGGAGTGGCACAAAAGGTTGGGAATGGCTGGGGGGGGTTTTATGGGAGCATCCCAGTGTGGAACTGGGAATTGTGCACCTGGGTGGCCTCGTGGGGACAGCAGGTGACCCGGGGGGGGGCCTTGGGGCGG